AATGCTGCGCCGCATAAATATGCAGAAACCGAACTCGAATCTTCACGGCTACGTGATTCTATTTATGTACGAAACTCTTATATTTCATAATATTGCAAAATTCATAAAATAATAAGTAATTTAAACTATCAAAATAATGTCTACTAAAATGCTTTTTTAACGTAATTTTAACGTAATTTTTAACGTAATTTTTTAATAAAAAAAGTTAAAATATTTATTACATTAGAATATAAATGATTTTTTCCAAATATCTCTTTCTTCATGTAATATAAATAAAAAATTTCCTGACACTAATGAAATCATGTAAAATACATAAAAAGATTAAATCATACAAAGATATAATATATTACTGAACACTATTAATTCAATGTAATCTTTTAGTGTTTTTCATTGGTAGGAATTGAGTGCGACTGCACGTCGCTTGGAGCTTGTGCCGAGTTTCTTCACTAAAATGCAAAAACCCGGCATCAAGTCTTCCAGTTAAACAACGCGCACCGTCTCCTTGCGCACCGAAAAGCCCAATGAAACACAATTACTCTCGACAAGTGTGCACCCAGTGCGCATCAATACGTAAAAAACGCTATTTTGTTTCATCCTTTCTCGATTTCTATCTTAATAAACTCTTTCTATCCTGAAATTCACTTGCTTCCAAACTGGAAATTGTTGTAATTCTTCTTTACTTCATAACAGCTTCTATAAATCAAAATATATCTTTTATTAAGAATGTTGATTTTGATGTAAACTTTCTTATTGTATTTTTATTATAAGTATAAATTAATATATATTGAACAAAATATTTTTAATATGTCATTCACTTACATAAAAGAAACACAAATTAAAAATATGAAATACTAAACATATTATTTTTGTTAAATATTTTATATTTTTAACTTGTGTTTTTTTTATGTAAGTGAATAATATATTTTGATGTAAACTCTCTTATTGCATTTTTTAATATAAGTATAAATTAATATATTTTGAGCAAAATGACATATAATAAAAAAATCATTTTTATAAAATATAATAATATACATATAATTTATATAATATTAATTGTTTGAACATTTTAATAAAATACCTACACAGTTGAATCGTACATTTCAATTT